ATATGGGCTTGAAAGATTGGATGTGGATAGCTCCCAGTGATTGGTGATGCCGAATGCCTTGTCGGTATAGATTCCGGGAGTTGGTTCACCTTCCTTTAGCATCTTCTTGAGTCCGAACAAATGACGATCCACACCCCGACCATCAGCTGCCCATGCAGCATACTGAAGGTGACGAGCAACGGCTCGTCGGAATAGCGCTGCTCGATTCACGTCCTGTTTCAAGTCTTTTAGTCAACTGGGTAAAATCTGATCTGCGAATACTCACTGTTTCCTTTGGATTCAACATGGCCTCAGCCCACGCCTTGCTTTCTTTACTAGCGCTTCTGATGACCTCTGTTCGACCTCGTTGGAACTTGCGAGTTTGTGCGCTCTCGTAGCAAACACCAGGACGGTTGTACATCTTGTGGAATGCAAGCTGCTTGACAAGTTGGGCCCAAGCATCAGGTGAGGCTTTAAATTTCTTGATCTGGCTCTTTCCATAACCTTCATAGTGAAGGACCTAGCAATACCACGATTAGCTTCACCATAACCAGGATAACATTAAGAACACACCTCCATATCATGAGCTCCGACCAATTCATCGAAATGCTTCTCAGCTTCAGCGATATACTTGTTGGTTGTAGCATCGAGCTCAAACTTGAGTTCCTTGGGAGGTGCCAAACCGCTCCTGACAGTCTCTGGACCATGATCGATCTTGCCATGCGACAGTGCAGATAGTATAAACTCGTTCAATCGCAGAGTTGGAGTTCCTGCAAATCACCAACAATTGAGCTTAGTAGCTAAGCAGCCCTACAGATTGCAAACGTACCATCCATGCAAGAATGTTCACCCAAGAATCCAGATTTGCCATTCTCGAAGACGATCACTAATATCAGGATATGTGAATATGATGTATAATATGCACCATCCTCGTCAAAACTCACGTTGATGCTTGTCATAGAAGCGATTTCGACCGTTTCCAACCCAGCAAGCGTGTGAGATAGCTTCACGTGTTACTGGTTTTGTGTCGTCCAAAGCCACGACAATGATGGCGGATTCTATACGTTCGAGGGACTGAGAGTTGATGGGAGAAGCTTTAAGGAGAGCTTCACGAGCATCTGTCCATATATCTCGGTTCTCGGAGGTCAGAGCACCAACAGCTGGACCAGGGGTGGATCCTGCAAGCGCCATCACCTGGGAAAGTTGACTACAAGAGATCCCTTTAGTATTGTACGCAGGGATTGGCACGAAGGAACATACGATTCAAGCTCCTTTGTGCTCAATTGTGCCCCATCAACTACGACAGGGATTTCGAAGAACTTGTTTTTCCTCACGACCACGATGTGTTGGTGAGTTGCAGGGTCGAATTTTCTGGCAGTGTCGGCCGGTTTCACAGGATATCGGCTGGAGTTGAAGAGCCATTTGTAAGAAGACATGTCAAGGGGTGTCCCTCTCACATTTTCAGGTTCGAGTTGTTGGCTAATGTGATAATAATGAACAACCGCGCAAAATCAAAAAGGTCAGAGAACTTACGTCTCGACAAGTTCCCGGAAGGGAAGCAATGCCTTAACAAGCGACGCTGCTCGCTGAACTGGGTCCCGTCTCAAGGGGTCATCCAGATGCACGTAAAAATAGCTGGTCAACACTGAAATGTCAGTGTTGTGTTGGGGAAGATGATTCCGCTCAACTTCACCTGACGAAAACGACCACTGGGTCTCTGTATGCCATATAAGCGACGTCATTCCACCAGTCGGCCAACCAGTTCAGTTGTCCTGGTTCAGCAGCTCTTGCTTCCAAGCGTCGTTGCAACTCCTTTCCATGATCAGAGGCAATGAACTCCTCCACAGCCTTCTTAGTCGCCTGGAATGCCTCTGGTGTGACATGTGGTTCCACGCTTTCGAGGTATTTGGCTGCCGTGGAAGACAATGGTGGGACTGGCAAATTTGGCAGACCTCGTTGGAACCTCAACATCGGCCCAACTGAATGATCCACTGGATGGACTGAATGACGCTTGGCTGGCATGGTGCGAGTGATATTTCTAGATTGAGTAGTCGTTGCCTGTAATGCTTTCACGACTGCCTGTTTGCTGTTTGACGTGAGACGAAGCATCAAAAACCGTGTTTGTTACGTTAGCCAACAGAAGTAACAGCAACGAGAGGGTCTGTTGGGGGGAACTATCAAAGTAGAATGAAGCCGAGAGATTTCAAAATCGCGTGTGCCCAATATATATATCGAGCGGCGATTATTGGTTGAGAGTGCGTGATGATGACACCGGTTACCAATTTGCCTGTGAGAGGTCGGGGAGGACCGGTAAGGAAACTCCCGAACAACCGGTCACACATCACACCCAAGTGATCTATGCCATCGCGTCGACTCGGGAAGTCTAAAATACTAAGATTCCTCTGGTCAGCAGCGGTTCGGAACGTTGCACCT